AAAAAAAAAAAAAAAAAAAAAACTGCATGACAGAAACAAATACCTCAGACCTAGTGGCAAAATGCTTTTCGGCTTCGGCTGATGAATTTTCATATTCTTGCAGCAACTTGTTCGTTTCATTCTTTTCGTTCTCCCTCAACTTTTGTTGCCGATCGACCTCTGCAGAAAGATGATTGACTTGAGTCTCCAGCTTCCTACACAAGCTCTCATAATCAAATTCTTCTTTCACCTTTACTGAGTTCACAACTTTCATGGCCTGTGGAAAACCACGTCACACTATAAAATGGGTAATAGGGTAACTTTCTAATTGCAAATAAAAGTTCAGTCATATCTTATAATTATAAAGATCCTCTTAAAGTGTTATTAAACACCCCCTTATGTGAGTATTCACCTAACTAAGCACTCTCCTAAGGTTCAGTTTGTAAGGAGATACAAATTTGCCCAGGGGCATTTGTAAATGTAACAAAATTAATTGCTTTTTTTGACACAGTTTTGTCTTTAATGCTCAATACTCACCCGCTGTCCAAACATTATAGTGCTTGCTGTTTCTGCATGATGGCGTGAAGATGGCCCAATTGTAATTATGAGTGATGTTCTTGCTGAACCTGTTAGCATTGCGCTTGTATGACGTCATGTATTGTCAAGCAACAAGAAATATGAAAAGTACAGAACGAAGTGAGGTACGAAATTCATTTAGCAAACAAGATTGAAAAATAATTACTCGTGTATCAGTTGAGAAGGTTCTCAATTCATACATTCCCATAGTGTAGATCTTACACATGCAAAGTACAATTATATAGTCAGCAATAATTGTTCCGTTTATATGTCTGGCTTAAATTCAATAAGCATATAAGTCATTTACAAAATATAAAAAAATAAAAAATAAAAAAATAAATATGAATAATTACGAAAAATTTAACATATAACCTCCAAATGAATCTCGGAGCAATCTTGTCAACTTAGAATCTCTGGTTGGTATGTGAGGGCTGTTTTCGGCCAATGCATTGATGCATTTTCCAAGAGATGATAGAGAAAGATTAATAAACTTAGCCTCCTCCAGCAAGTGGCCTTCGCTCCCTGCCACAAGGAAAGGACTAAATAAACTAACACAACATAAATATGAAAATTTTCCACACAATTATAAACATTGATATAAGTTCAAAAATAAACATACCCGATTTGTCTATTCGCTCAGATCCGGCAAGATCCACAATCAGAAGCTTGCTTTTCCGAATCGTAGGCACATTACGTCCATTTCTGCACGTGGGAATTTCTTGCTCAAGATCAATCACTCTTTCTTCTTTCTCATGACCTGATCTACGAATATTAACCTATTGGAATATAAAGAAACTGAATGAATAAATGAAGTTCTAGGATCAGTGAAAAATAAACCTTCAAGAATTGCGGTTTAAGATAACGTACCATAAGAATTGCGTGACTGCGTGATGATTCTGTGTTCATCTTTGTATTGGCTGCGTAGCGATTAGCTTCTCCAGTTTGCAATAGTTGTAAGAAATGATCGACGCTTCGTATTTTAACTATATCGACACCTGGTACGGATATTTCCCCAGTCTTGGCATCCTCCACAATTGCGATATTCGTCTTTTCCGGAGCAAGCAAATCTTGAACAGATTCCATGTATAGCTGTTAAGAAATATATATCATCTTCAGTAAAATACAGATTGAAGAACTAATAGCATCAAGTTCTAAAAGAGAGAGAAAAAAAAAAAGCAAAACTCGTGCTTATCTCACAAGCTTGTACTAATTCAAGCTTCTCTTTGATATGGAAATCAACAATAAAGAAATTTAACATATTACAGATCTGCCAATACCATGAAACAAAACTAATAGACAAATAAACATTTCAATGATCAAGAAACTGTAAGTCTGTAACAACCCTTTCTATTCGTTTTTACTTTCATAGTCCAATCCAAGTCCTACCAAAAAACTGAATAAGAAGAAGTCCACATAAAATAATCTCACTACCTGTAAATAAGAAACTTCGACGGTATCAGATGTCGATGTACCAGATAATATGTCCTCTAAAGCTCTAACCATTATTCCACGTTCAGAAGCATCCTCTTTACCCAGCCTGCCAAGGGTGTAAGTCTTGCCAGTCCCCGTTTGGCCATAAGCCATAACCGTGCCATTATACCCATCCATTACACTCTGCACGTGAAAATTAACTTTTAAAATAACAGCATTACTATTAGAAACAGAAAAGCGTATAGATATTTTTCAAACAAAAAAGAAAAAAGAAAGAAATGAACTCTGCATTTATCCTGTGAACTTCCACTAAAAAAAAAAAATCCATGAGCTCATATCTAGAAGACAAAGAACAATAAGCAGTTGAATAGAAAATAATGGAGATTAAGTTTCTGAGAGTACAATGTAAGGCATCAACTTACTTCAACAACGGGTTTAGCTACGGCCTCATACACACGCTTCTGTGAAGCACTTTCCGTAAAGACTTCATCAAATCTATAAGAGTCACAAGTCCAATTGTTTTTTCTTAACTTCAACATTTTTAGCTGCATAAACAAATAGTGACTGCTTCAGTTACTACAATGAATTGGAAAAAGAAAAGTATCCCAAATGCAAAGCTCATAAGTACCTCAGGCTTAAGTTCAACACATTCACCATAATCGACATCGGACATATCCTCAGCATTTTTAGGCCGTAGCCTGACAGCAACTCTCACTCTCTCAGATTCTATGGCACAGAACAAAGAAGCACATTTTAAAAACGCTAATAATGAGAAGGCCTCTATTGAATATTATCATGCATTACTAACAAGTTTTTGAGACCATCTAATACTAAAACTGCAGATACTACTCAAAACCAATGGATGGGACATCATTTCTGAACAAAATTCCACCTTTCATAAAACAGTAACAAATGCCAGCATTTCATAATCTTTCACATCTCAAAAAAAAAAAAAAAGATTACGTCCCACTCGTCAATAGTTTAGAAATCTTGAATATTTTAGGCTAAAATGCCACACCCGACACTCATACCCACACCAATGTCGACACAATATGACACAGGGTATTCTTCCTAAATAGAAGAGTCCGGGTAACATAGCTTTTCTCTAATCCCACCAAAATAAACCACTCAAGTCTCTCATAATCGGCAACAGTCAAACATTAAACTCACTCATCAAGCACAACTTTATGCTCATATAATTATATAATAGAGAGAGAGAGAGAGAGAGAGAGAGAGAGACCTGAGTCATGATGAAGAGATGAAGAGCGATTTCTAGAGGTGGGCGTAACAGAGCGTCTCGAAGAAGACATGGGCGCTTTGGAGCGGACAGAATGCGGCTGCCCGCCATTGTTGGTTCTCAAAGAGGAATAATTTCCATTAACAGAAGAATTGAAAGGATTAGAAGACGAAGAGGGTGATGGGGATTTGTGAGATGCTCTTCCTCCGCTACCCAAAGACGACATTTTTATCTTCCTTCGTTCTTTCTTCGGAGAAACTAAAAACAGTTTCTTGAAAAAGGAAACAGAAACATTGGGAGGTTTTGTTGAGAGAGATTTGGAGAAGAAGAGTGTGCGTAGTCTTTGCGTGGCTGATTGATTTGGTTATCAGTTGAGGCCCGCACGATTTGAACAGGAAAAAATAATAATAATAATAATAAATAAATAAATATATAAAGCTTTACAATCAAAAAAAAATAAATACATATAATTTTTTTTTGAAAAAAAAAATTAACTTGCTAGATAACAATGCTTTGCCGATGTCGTAAGATTTTTTCGACATTTTTTTGGATTTTTTTTTTTAAATTCGAATGGTTCGTTGAAGTTTCGGTTTTAGAGAGATAGAGAGTAGAGAGAAAGTAGAGAAATTACGTTCAAAGGTATTTTCTTAAAATGAGGCGATAACTAGTAATAGGGAGACGGTAAATAGCGATTCACTTTGTCTATCTTTTCAGTTCCCGCGTTCAGATTGCCTGCCTATGTTAATTTCCAAGATTCTTGTAATATTGTTCTCTTTTATTTTTCTAAATTCTAATTTTGGATTTTAACTTTAATTGATTTTCTTGGCCAAAGCAAATAAAAACAATAAAATGCAGCAATTAGACGGGTTCACCTGTTATACAGTTTTAACAAACAGAAAATGTTATGGTTTCGTTGCGGAACCATTTCGTCGGGGTTTGTTACCGTTAGATTACCTATCGCCCGACAGTTATATGATGATTTAACGGTTATAAATCTCGACAAAATTGTTCCGTAACGGGGATGTAGCATCTCCCAAAACAAACATACATATTTATACCATAATAGATTTTATAATTTTATTTGTTTGAATATGAAATTGAATAAATAAAATAGAAATTGAATAAATAATAATAGAGGATGCAAGAGCAAGACCGTACCCATTTTTTTTTGAACTGAAATTTAAGGGTCTAGCAAGATATATTTGTATATATTCGGTACAGATTCGAAGGTAGTATACAGTGAAGAACATGATATAAAGTGAGCGACGGAGAATGCGGGAACGAGAACGTACCCATGGTCGTCTGCCAGTCGGAGTTCGCGACGTGGTGGCGGAATCCGGTGTTACCGCTGGGAGGCTCGATGGGAGTTTCAAGTGGGAGATGTAGCTGGTTGCATTTTTGTTGTGAGGGAGTTTTGGAGAAGACAAAGTATGGGAGAGAGATAGTGGTCTTGGGAAGGGACACATTTATTTATAGCTAAAGGGTCATCACTTTAGTAGATGCATTATGGTAGAGTACTAGTCACATGGCCTAGTGGGAAGGGACATCATCATGACAATGAGATGACCATTGCAAATTTCGAGGTACCTTTTCCTAGGGGCTCGATGGGCGCGCAGCATTAGCTGGGTGATTGGACGACACGTCCATCGACTCCGCTTTTAGGTGTCCCACGCATCTGCACGGCATTCATCTGCGCGGCATTCTTTCGCTTTTGAGGTAAGTGCATCATGTGGTAAGGTGTCCCGTGCATCTGCGCGTCGCGCATCTGCGCGGCATTCATCTGCGCGGCATTCTTTCGCTTTTGTGGCAAGTGCGGCGTGCATCTGCGAGACACTCATTGGCGCGACATTCATCTGCGCGGAATTCTTTCGCTTTTGTGGTAAGTGCGGCGTGCATCTGCGCGGTATTCTTTCGCTTTTGGGGTAAGTGCGGC